GGCCGGCGCCGCCGGCTCAGGGGTCACAGCCCCTGGGTCTCAGGGGGTGCTAATCGGGGACAGGCTGTACTCTGGGGTGCTCATCACTTTGGAGAACTGCCTCCTGCCTGACGATAAGCTGCGGTTCACGCCGTCCATGTCGAGCGGCCTTGACACCGACACGGAGACCGACCTCCGCGTGGTAGGCTGTGAACTCATACAGGCGGCGGGCATCCTGCTCCGCCTGCCGCAGGGAAAGGGTGCGGCCGCGAGCCCGGAGCCGAGGTAACCGCCAGGCTGGCGCCTGGCAAAGTGACCGGGCCCTTTGTTGGTGGTGTGGAAGGTCCCGCGCCCACCCCGTTTGTCCTTGTCCTTGTCCCTGCCTTCACTCTAATCTCATCCCGTCCTGGTGTTCAACGCCATCCTTGTCCCTAGGCCCACCCGAACTTTCGATTCTGGTTCTCGTCCTGTCGGCCGGAACTGGCCTCTTCACAGACCAGTGAGCAGGGCCTGGAGGCAGCAAATATGAAGGGCTTTTGTGGGCACGGAAAGCATTTTGGGTTTTTGTTCTGTGTGGGAGTCCTGTGTAACCCTGTGACTGAGAAGGCCTGGAATCCTGAGATTTAAAGGGGATGGAAACTTTTTCCTTCTCTAGGTGGCCATGGCAACCGGGCAGGTGTTGTTCCAGCGGTTCTTTTATACCAAGTCCTTTGTGAAGCATTCCATGGAGGTAAGGGCGTCCTCCTGTTTCATTCCTAGGGAAATATTTTGGGTGGAAACTGGGGTTCATTGTTTTCCCCAGCTGTCCAGAGGAGTAAGTACCTGCCTTCTGTAAGTCCTGTACTTGAGGGTTTGGCAAGCCCCCTGTGGAGCAGAGCTCCCATTTCTTGAGGAGGCCTTTTCCTCTGGGTGCACCTACCCTTTGCTCTTACTAGGCGTTAAGCCTTTGGAGGCTACCAGCATTGGAACAAACATCTGTGTGTCGCAATGCTTACATTTTAGCATGTGTCAATGGCTTGTGTTCACCTGGCATCCAAAATAGAAGAGGCCCCAAGACGAATACGGGATGTCATCAATGTGTTTCATCGCCTTCGACACCTGAGAGAGAAAAAGTGAGTCTCTTATCAGAGCTGTCATAGCCCTGTCTCGATGGTTACTAAGTTATACTAACATTGTTGTAAATAAAATTCGGGATATGAGGTTTTTAGTCTGTATGATGTTCACTGTTACAGTCCCAAGTGCACAGAATAAGGCCTGCCCAGAGGACATACAGCAGATCCTTTTTAGTGAGTGAAGGGACCACAGTAAGGAGGGCATCTTGCTGGTGTTGGTTCCCTAACTTGCCAACATCACAGTTTACAGCCATATCATCTCTTGTTTTCTACATGCTCCTGAATGTTCTCGAGTAGAGATTCTGAACCTCAGCACTATGGACATATGAGACTGGATAATACTTTATTGTGAGGGATTGTCCTGTGCTTTGTAGGATATTTAGCGGCATCCCTGGTCTCTACTCATCAGATGATAGTAGTGCCATTCCTCAGTTGTGCCCATCAGAAACCTCTCTAGACATTGCTTCATGGCTCTTTGATATCAGAATTGCCCAGTTGAGGACTACTGCCCTAAACCCTAGTCCAGACTTTAAGTTCCTAAAGTTAACGGAAGTTGTTTGGAAAACTGCGTCATCTGATTCCAGATACTGTATTTTCATTTGTTGCTTAGATTCCATTTAACCTAAAGCACATACACTTGAATCTTGAGCCTAATTGCCATTAGAACTTGTGCAGTCAGATTCTGAGACCCTCTGCCATGATCAGTTGGTGGTTTTTTTTTTTTTTTTTTTTTCATTCATTTTATTTTTTTAATTTGACCAGAGAGAAACAGACGGACGCAGAGAGAGAGGAAGCGAGAAAGCAAGCCAGCAGATTCAGGACTTGAACCTGGTCAGCCATGTGGGAGTATCCAGTGCCTTAACCACCACACCACCTGCTGTTCCTGATCAGTTGGTGTTTGTTTATGTGTTGTTTAAAGAGCTGTTTATAAGGAGGGGTGTAGAATATTAAGAAGGATAAGTAGGTTGGCACTGGGGTTTGAAATGTATTTTGTAATTTAGTTAGTTAAAGGAAGTAAGCTCATAAAAATGTCTGTATTGCTGAGGCTGACTGGTGACATAGTGGTTAGGGATGTTGGAATCCCACATGGTTGACCACGGTTCAAGTCCTGGACCTGGTGACTTTTTTTCTCACTTTCTCGCTTTCTCTCTCTGGTCAAAAAAAGAAAGTAATAAAGTAAAATAAAACAATCCATTAAAAATGTCTATATTGTATATGTATTGGGTTGTCTGAAAAATGATGATGTATTTTTTTCCTATGCAAAAAATGTGTCGTGACTTTTTTGACAACCCAGTATATTAGAAAATCACCAATGAGAGATTATTAGGGATTTGAAAGAGGTTGGTTTTGTTTGATTCTTATGTAGATGGTGTGCTTTGTTTTTATAGGAAGCCTGTGCCTTTACTATTGGATCAAGATTATATTAATCTAAAGAATCAGATTATAAAGGCGGAAAGACGAGTTCTCAAAGAGCTGGGTTTCTGTGTCCACGTGAAGCATCCTCACAAGGTGGGTATGAGACCGGCTAGCCTGTGAGCCCACCTTAGTCACTGTTGTAGCTGTGTCTTCCACCGTCCACTCTCAGCTGTAGTTGAAGGTTCTGAAGAGGATCGAATGCATTCCTAACTCGATTTTCTAGTTTTTTACCTATAATTTCAAAATATGGAATTGGCGGGACCTTCAGAAATTCACGGAAAAGTAGAATTAAAGCATGAGATTTTTTGGCACATAAAATTTTGAAATCCATGCATAGCTTTTTTTACAGTACATATTTTTCATGAACTTCTTGAAGACCTCTTGTAATTCTTTACTATTAGCCTATTAATCTGTTTTAGTGACTTTTTTAAAAAGAATTATTTTATTTATCTTCATTTTAACTTGACCAGAGAGGAACAAAGTAAGGGTGAGAGAAAGAAACTGAGAAAGCAAGCCATCAGGTCTGGAACTTGAACGGCGGTCAGCCATGTGGGAGTCCAGTGCCCTTAACCACTACACAACCTGCTGGCCCCATAATGACATAGTTTTAAGAGTTTTAGAAATGGAATTTTAGTTGGTACTTTGAAAAATAGTGATGAACTTGAGAAAATGGAATCTGATAGTATACATTTTTTTTCCTCAACAGCTAATTTTTTAAAGTTGCTTTAGTAATAGGCTTACTTTCTTTTATGGTGGCATTGAAAGAATTATAAGCCTTTTTTACAAAGGGCTAAGCTTGTCTAAAATGATTATTGTTGGGCCAGCAGGTGATATAATGGCTAAGGCACTGGACCTCCCACATGGCTTGCTACAGTTCAGGTCTGGACCTGATGGCTTGAAAATCATGCCAGGCCCATGTGCATGCATTCCCAAAATCCCAAGAGGAGAATGGAGGAGAAGGGATTGCCATGTGGCCATCCCCCTGGGGGTGATTTTTCACTTTCCCGCTCACTCTCTGGTGAGCACATGCACCCTGCGGCAAAAACCTTTAAAAAAAAAAGATTATTGTTTGCATCTTTGGTTTCATCCCCCTTTTATTGGTGGAATTTCTTGTATCTTCTTTCTTTCTTTTTTGACTTTCTTGCATTTATAGTTTTGATAAATTAGCCATCACAGACTTAAGTGCATTTTTTCATTTTCAAAAGTATTTTTTGTATAAGATGGGATATTGAGATGTTTAGGGCAGGCTAATTTCACTGGTGGGAAAAGTGTCAAAGACAATGAAAATTAGTCACATGGGAAACAAAAGTTTTTCCATTCCATGGGTTGCAGCTTGGTCTTCACATACATGCATGTTACCTAGTTGTAAAAACAGGTAGCAAGCATATCAACAAAAGCTCCCCCTCCAGCTGAGCTGTCTGCTAGATGTGTGACCAGTGGATATGGTTGCTGGATATGTTCCCAGGCACTTCTGGGATCTAGCATGAGGCTATTTGCTGCATGGACACCCACAAGATCTGACTTCTGAGCTCTCCAGGTTCTTGATAATAACTGCCTGACCCGTATCTTCCAGATAATCGTTATGTACCTTCAGGTGTTAGAGTGTGAGCGTAACCAACACCTGGTCCAGACTTCATGGTGAGTTGACCTTCCTTGTTTTATGACACCAGCAAGGGCAGTGCAGGAATGTGTTGGTTTGAGGCACTTGGGCAGTGGGTAGTCAATCCCATAACTTGTTTGTGGGCTGGAGGTATCCAAGTGCCCAGTGTTTTTGTAAATTTCAACCAGCCTCCCAAAATGTCAGGCACTGGCCTAACGGTAGGTGGCCCATACCCTCCTCCTGGCCCTGGATTCCCTTTGCCTCTCCCCTACCCTTTGAGATAGCAGAGGGCTTCCCTCTGGGGGCTGTTGACTAGGCATGGTGGGATCTTTCCCCAGGGAAATCAGAGGCTACAAGTGCTATTATAGACTTAGTGGTCTCCTATGAAATTGCATACTGTGGGAGAAAAGGGGGTGGGATAAGGTTTTGTCATAATTCTGTACTGCTTTAAATAATGTATATGTCAGAAATTAAGCCTGAAGTAACAATTTAGTAATATGGGGTGTTTTGGTGAATTTTTTCTCCTTGGAGTTAAGTCTGTAAGGGTCATATTTTTGCTGACTGAATTGTCTGGTGCTATGATGTGTTTAACAGAGAACCTATTTTGACTTTTCTTTTCTGTACTCTTTCAATCAAAGGGTAGCCTCTGAGGGTAAGTGACTAAGACTTCTCCTCTGCTGTCCAAGTGCTTTGGTGCAGGGACAGCGGCCGTCTTCAGCCAATCCAGTGCAGGCTCTCCACCGAAGGCTGGCTCTAGACTGGTGGTATGCGTACGATAGTATAGTCCTGGCCAACTGCTGCTTGTGGTTCTCTGACGATTGTGCTTCTTGTTAATCCTCTGTTGTGCTTGGTAATTGTATTGATTAGAGTTGATAACTGTCTTGACTTGAATTTTGTCTCTTTATAAATGCTGTAATTGTACAATAAAGATGCAGAACCTTTCTCTTTTCTAAAAAAAAGCTATGGAAGGCTATAAGGATCGAAGGGACAAATTGGCTACTGGGAATTCAGACTGTCGGTATGGGATTATGTTATTTCTATAAATACAAAAGTTGCTTTTTTAGCAGCTCTGTGTGAAACGTTACAAGGTGTGCATCTTTAAATTATTTCAGGGACACTATTTAAATTTTGTAACTTATTTAAAGTATAGCAGTAAATTTAAATATGTATTTTGAGAACTTTGTTTTTAGGACTTAAAAGTTAATAGATTAATATTATAATTACTTAAATGCTTTCTTATTAGAAACAAAAAGTTATTGCTGGTTATATGTATCAGTGTTGTGCTGTCACTTGCTCCAGGACATATGACTATACTGTCAACATACAGGTTCCCTCTTGATGCCTGGAGTAAGAGTTTCCAGAGCCTGGTCCCTCCAGGAGGCATCTGTAGAATTTATCACTTAGAAACCTCTGGGTGGCTTTATATGTTGCCTTCTCCAGGGCTTATTTATGGCAAAGATAAGGGAGGGTGGGGACCATGGGTTATTAGTCAGATTATAGCTGATTTACCTTACTTGTGGGTGCAGCCTTATTCCAAGACTTGCTATTTTGGAGGGATAGTAAGAGCAGTAAATGTATAACCTATTTACTTGTTTACATGTAATTAATCCTTTGTTATCACAATATAAAGCTAGTATAAGGTCTGATTTTAGTTTACTAAATCTTAGGGAAACATAACAGAAAATGTTTAAAATGCAATTAGTTTTTAAACCTTTTACCTTTTTAAAAAAATGTAATTTTTGTATTTTTATACCTTCTAAAGTATAGTTTTAAAAAATGTACTGTGATGAACTTTTAGTATATTGTTGCTTTTGTCTGATTTTATGAATGTTCATTTTAAGACTCCTTATTGAAATGACAATTTGGAAACGATTCTTTGATAAACCTGAGAAGAGGACTTCCCTTTGGGTCTTGAGCCTTCGTCTGCATGATGTTCCCATGCACCTGAATTGTACCCGAGGGTGTTTTCCCCTTTTCCGAGTGGACTCCCTCATGGAAGCTGCTGCTCAGTCATCCAGAAAAGGGCCAGACCAGGCTGGGAGCGCTCTTCCAGGAGAAGGAATGCAAGAGGACAAACAGCTTGTCTCACAACCACCTCACAGGCTTCCTGCTCAGCCAGTTCATTTGAGTTTGCATGTTTCTCTGCACTATGGATTTTGCGCATTTAGAGTTCTTTAATCAAATACATTTTAATCACTACAGTAGACATTGTTTTTCTGAGGCATTGTGCTTTGCATGAGAGCAGGCTAAAGTTGAGGGGGAAAAGTAAAGTTAAAGTTGGTTCTCTTTCATAGCAACACGTATTGTTTGACATTCAGCAGCTTTATTTTTTTTTTTGTCCCCAATAATTTCTCTGTCTTCCTGTCTTGTATTCAGAAAAAAAATAGCTAGAATGTTCCTTCATTGTTACCTTTTGAGATTTACAGGACTATCTAGCTCTAAGTCTTAGCAGTAGACTATTAAAGGAATAGTGACTCTATCTAGATAACACAGTTGGATATCCAGCATTGGCAGGCATTTGCAGTTCTTCCTGTATTTACTTTGCAGGAATTACATGAATGACAGCCTTCGCACAGATGTTTTTGTGAGGTTCCAGCCTGAGAGTATTGCCTGTGCCTGCATTTATCTTGCTGCTCGAACACTGGAGGTCAGTGTATTGCCACCATGGGAGATTCTGGTCTGATTGTTTTTCCAACCTGCTGTAAACTTTTGTGCATTATTCTTGAAATTATGCTTGTCTGTGTCAAATTTGTTCGTGACCAACAAGCTGGTTTTTATTGTCTGAAGAGCCTTATAGGCCATGAAGTTGTTAAAAAAAAAAAAAGCATAACAGTGTTGGTTTTTGTGTTTACAGATCCCTCTGCCCAATCGTCCCCATTGGTTTCTTTTGTTTGGAGCAACTGAAGAAGAAATTCAAGAAATCTGCTTAAAAATCCTGCAGCTTTATACACGAAAAAAGGTTCTTTGATGTTTTTCATGTAACATGCATTTGTGTTAGATCAGAAGCATCCAATTCTGAATAGATGAATTCTGGCTTTTGTAGGTTGATCTGACACACTTAGAAAGTGAGGTGGAAAAGAGGAAGCATGCTATTGAAGAAGCAAAGGCACAAGCCAGGGGCCTGCTGCCAGGGGCTGCACAGGTTCTAGACAACACGTCAGGGTTCTCACCTGCCCCCAAGCTGGGTGAGTGTGTTAGGGTACAGAAATCTGTTCCTCACAAGGATGAAGGTTGGTGATTCTCTTAAACTGTTATTTTGGGATGTGTGGTCTTTCCCTTCAGATTTGTCTTAGAATTGAGTCTGTAGCTTGTCTGAGAGCTTCATAGGCATGGGAATTCCTAACAAACCATTGGTGATCTTTGGGCCCCTAGAGAGCTTTGTCTTTATGTTTTCATTAGCAAAGGTTTGGACAGGCTTTCTGAAATGCTTTTGTTTATCCTATCTACCCACTTAGGTTGTTATTGAGTAAAGTTTTATAATCTGGGGCAGTAGATTGTCATACCTTTGAGTTAAGTATGAAGTTCATTACATAGTCCCTGAGTAAAAGTGAGCTAGATAAAGCCCTTCCTGCATCTTTCAATTGAACTTTTAGGTTCTGAGTCCCAAGTCAGGACCAGAAACTTAGAAGAGTGCATCCCCATTAATTCCATAGAACTGACCATATCTTGCTCTGCCAACTTGCTTCTTATTGGTGCAATTTTCTGAGGGTTGGTTTGTAATTTATTATGCTTGTTTCTAGTAGAATCCCCTAAAGAAGGTAAAGGAAACAAGCCTTCCCCACTCTCTGTAAAGAATGTCAAGAGGAAGACGGAGAGCACAAAGAAAGCAAAGGGGGACAGCCCTGTGAACGGGTAAGACACCCAGAGCTGACATGTGGCCCTCCAAGACAGCTGGAGAGATGTCAGCTCTATAATTGTGCTCTGGGGGGTAGCAGGTGGCATGATGGCTAAGGTGTTGGACTCTCACATGGCCGATGGTGGTTCAAGTCCCAGACTTGGCAGCTTGCTTTCTCACTTTTTTTCTCTTTCTTTCTCTGCTTCTCTCTGGTGAGCGTATATACCATCTGGCAAGTTAAAAAATGATAGTAGATAAAAGTAAATAAATTAAGTCTCTAAAAAAATAATTCTGGGGGACCAGCAGTTAGTGTAATGGCTATGTCGCTGGACTCCCATGTAGTCAACCACGGTTCGAGTCCTGGACCTGGTGGCTTAAACTCATGCCAGGTGTGTGTGCCCAAGATCCCGAGAGGAAAATGGAGGAGAAGGGATTGCTGCGTGGTCATCCCCCCGGGGGGAGATTTCTCACTTTCTGTCTCTCTGTCTCTGTCTTTCTGGCAAGTGCACGTGCCCTATAGCAAAAACCTCTCCAAAATAATAATAATAATAATAATAATTCTGCACTGATTCTGTTTGAAGCTTGCCAAAGGGGCGAGAGAGTCGAAGTCGGAGCAGGAGCCGAGAGCAGAGCTATTCCAGGTCCCCATCGCGATCCACTTCTCCTAAGAGGAGGTATGTGCCTCAGGGCCATCTGTGGGGCTCACATCTAGTACAGGGTAAAGTGTTTTACCCAGGATGGGAAGAGATGGTATAGCCTCCCATGGGGACAGTCCTTTTTACCTGTGGGCATGTATGCCTGGCTAGGACAGGCAGTTACACCTTTACTGGCACTGTTCTTTCTCACAGGAAAAGTGACAGTGGCTCAACATCTGGTGCGTCCAAGTCACAGAGCCGCTCTCGAAGCCGTAGCGACTCCCCACCAAGGCAGGCACACCGCACTGCCCCCTATAAAGGCTCTGAGGTGAGGGGCTCCCGGAAGACCAAGGACTGTAAATACCCTACCCAGAAACCACACAAATCTCGGAGCCGGAGCTCATCTCGTTCTCGAAGCCGGTCACGGGAGCGGGCAGATAACTCTGGAAAGTACAAAAAGAAAAGTCATTACTACAGAGATCAGCGACGGGAGCGTTCGAGATCCTACGAGCGCCCAAGCCATCGCTATGAGCGGGACCACCCTGGGCACAGCCGGCATCGGAGGTGAGGCAGGGGTTCCAAGTGACTGGCCAGCCTCAGGCTTTACTGAAGGGCATCTAGAGGGCTGCTCTGAGCCCTCCCTGTCATGCACATCTCAGTGCGGTGACCCTGTGGCATGACTTTTTAGGAATGGTTTTTGACTTTGGACCTTGAGATGAATTTGGAAATGGAATTGAGGGGACAGTGAAGTTCCCCCTCAGGCCAGCCTGGGGCACAGTGCAGCCTTGCAGGTGGCTTGATGGAAAAGCAGATGCACACCTCCCTGTTGGTATGGCTTGGTGCTATCGACAAGCTGTCTCCACTCCTGAACCCGATACTCAATTACGTTAAGCCAAGAAAGATGATTTAGAACCTTTGCCTATATTAGGTTGTACTTATGTACATATTTTGCAGTGTTTCACAATGAGAAAATGGCCTTAATAGCCCCTTATTCTCTGTCCACATTGTAAATAAACATGTGTTTAATGCAAGTTAAAGCTGTATATGAAAACTCAGAACTTGAATTCTGTTAGCTTAAAACTTGTGTAGAGAATCCTGATTTCAAATGTGAAGGTATTTAGGTCTGTGTTGAAAGTCGTATATTTTTATCTGTGCAATGCTGAGTGCAGGACACCAGCTCCTAAATAGAGAAGTTTCTTATATATGCATTTTATGGGGTTGAATAAACACAATTCTCTCTACTCAGGACATTTGGAACGTTAAAGAATTTGTAGGTTGTCATTCTGCTTGCCTGTTCAAGTGTACAGCCTTTGCACAGCCAGCCTACCCGTTCTAGGAGTATGTCTGAGTTGTGTCCCTGCTCCCTGCCCTCATTAAAGTGTTGGATTTTGTATTGAGTTCCTATGTGTCTGCTGTTATGCTAGAGGCTTGAGATGGGGCCAAGCTACCTATCAAGATGTAAGGCTGTTTCCTGGGAGGCTGGAAAGGGGAGTATTGAAAACAGAATGAAGTGCCCTTGCACCTGAGGGGCATTGGTCTGTATCCCAGTGGGTTTGTTTTTCCTGCATAGGAGGCAGCCAGGAGCTCCTTAGAAGGTCACCTCTCAGAGCTGGGACCTTCCCTGTATGTTGTGGACAGATGAGGACAGGGTTGGGGACTGTGTACTCTTCCTGGATGGGTGTTACTATGTCCCACATGTGACTATGAAGCTGGAAATGAGTTACTAGTATTATTAGCCAGAATTGTCTCTCCTGCTGGGGCTCACCTCTAATCAGTGCCTGGATTCAGGGCCTATTGGGCAGCTGTACTTGACTTCAGGTTGAGGCTTCATTAACATAGTCAGCAACCCACTCGGGATTGTTCTAGGAGGACAGGTAGAAAGCCCTGTCCTCCACTGAGGGGTGGATCAGGGGGTTCACCTAGCTTCACCTGTCCTCTGCTTGACCATTACAGTGTGGGTGTAGCCACGTCCAGCTCCTGACCCTCAGACCTTGTGCTGATCCCCTCAGAGAACAGGTCCAGTGCCATAGGCTACTCAGCTCGGGACATTAGTGTCCAGATGAGAGGCAGCTTCAAGTTCCTGGGCTTCCTTCAGCTGCTCCCTCCAGGCTCAGCAGTAGGTGCATGAGATGCGAACACCCACTGTGGTCTTTGAGCAACTTGCAGCCCCTTTGCACTGAGAGGTGGTGCAGCCCTTAAGTGTCTGCTTGTTGGCCATAGTCTGACTATGGGGTCACCTGCCTAGAGAGAGAAAGAAAGAGAGAAAGAGATACACATACATACATACTTGGATTTTCCAGTTTCTTTCTGACCTTGCTCTTCCTAGGTCTCTGGTCAGTGTCCAAATGGCTGATAGTGGGGCCAGTAGGTAGTGTGGTGAAGGCCAGCCATGGTTCTAGTCCTGGAACCGGTGGCTTGAAAATCACACCAGGTGCATGCCAAGATTCCCGAGAATGGAAGAGAAGGGATGTGACATAGCCACCCCCCTGGGAGGTGATTTCTCACTTTTCTCCCTCATCCTCCCAACACATATGTCCTATGGCAAAAACCTAAGGAAAAAGGAAAAAAAAAAGGCTGATGGTCCATCCCTACCTGAAATAGCCAGGACTGGAAGGGATAGCTCAGCCCATGCTGCACACAGGATCCTGTAGTAGTGGGGTTGAGCTGGGCAACTGAAAGGGTTGTGATGTCTGTTCTGGGCAAACTTGGGCTTGACTCACTCACACTTGTCCCTTTCCAGGGAAGAGGTCTAATCTCCATCACATAAGATGGTGTGTGCCCGGGGCCAGCAGGTAGCATGGTGGTTGAGGGCATAGGACTCCCACATGGCCGACTATGATCTGAGTCCTGTACCTGGTGACTTGCTTTTTCACCTTCTCTCTCATCAAATTAAAAAAAAAAAAAAAAAAAAAGTTAAATAAAATAAATAATTCTTTAAAAAAAAAGAAAAAAGTGGTGTGTGCTGGACCAGCACTGCCTGATGCTAGGGCCCCAGGAGGAGCTAGGCCCAATACTGCCCAGTCCCTCTGGACCCTGGCTCACTTGCCTGTGCCCACCTGACCTCCCCACGCCTCTATCAGCCCCTTGCTTCCCCTCTGACTTCAACTTACCCTTGAGGTGGTGGTTTGTTTGTTCTCTCACCACCTGCCAAGTAGGGAGTACTGCACTCTAGTCCCTTAGGGGGAAGGGGGAGTGTCCAGCATCCCCAGAATGTAGGGAGTGGGGCTAGACCTGGGTGGTTCTCTGCCTGTGACCCATTGGCCTTGGGCTCCAAGTTCCAGAGTCCTCAGCAAAGGATGGTCTGATAAATACCCCATTTGGATGCTGGAGCCTTCCTGCCAGCCTGCCCACACTTCCCATCGTGTGCCTGCCTAGCTAGGAGTCTCTGACCCACCTCACCTTTAAAACACTGTGTGAATGGGGAGGAAGCCTCCACAAAACACTCCCGCCCCTTTCCCCAAACTGGAAAGGAGCTTGAGAGCCAAGTTTGGAAAATACTGGAGCACTTGAAGAACTGGCTTGGGGCCCAGCCAGGGGCTTGCTGGTCTATCAGGCCTGTGTAGGGTCCAGCCTCCTTAGTACGGAGGGGCAGGCCAGGTACAAGTGGGTAGGAGGTGAGGAGAGTAAAGGAGGGGAAGGGGAAGGGTGCCTCCACCTTCCCTGACCATAGCCCCCAGTGCTTCTTCTCAACTCTGGCCCTAAGTGGAGCCTCCAAGCAGATTGTGAGTTTCCAGAGGCTGGACCCTCAACCCTAGTGCAGCCTGCAGGTGGGATGAAGGGATCTCTGGTGGCCCCAGTAGAGATAGCTGGGTATGTGATGGTTGCCTCCAGTACGTCCCCCAAAAAGCCCCTGGATCTCAGGCCTTTCAGACTCTGCAGAGAGAGGCCCAAGGAGTCAGATGCCCAGCCCTGTGGTGAGGCCTGAGCTTGCCTTTTCCCAGTGCACATTCTACAGAGCCCCTTGGATTCTGCATGTCACAGGTCACTCTGTCCTAGGTGGAGGGTCTTTCCAAGGGAGTACTGAAGTCAATACCAATATTAGAGGTGTTCTGAGAGCCAGGCTTGGCTATGTCCCTTGAGATGATGGTCCCCTTTCTGCCTATACCAGGGACCTGCCAGACCCATCCTCCCAGCTCTAAGAGATTGTTGGGACAGATAATTGCATGTATTTGATGTAGCCTGCCAGAGTGAGATTCCATGTTGTGTGTGTCTCAGCTCCTGAGACTCAATCTGGAGGAAAGTGATGGGCAACCCAAGGGTGCCCAGGCTTGGGAGACATAATGTACAGGTCAGAGCCATCCCCTTGGCCCTGGGCTCTTATAGGCAGTGATGGTTCATCAGCCCTTTGGACACTGACTGGAGATCTTGAGAAGAGCAAGGCCAGGTAGAAACGAAAAGGCAAGCTAGGGGAGCAAAGAAGCAGGTGACTTCCAGAGGCAGGTAGTGTTGGGGGCAGCATGCATTGCCTCTCATTACACAGGCCGGAAAGGCAAGGCTGATCGGAGCCTGGTGGGTGATGTATGGGAGCCTGGTGGGTGACGTAGCTTGTGTTCCTACGGCTAAACCCCAGAGGGATTCTTGGGCAGCAGCTACAGGAAGAGTTGGGGTCAGAGCTCAGTCATGTCTCACCAAGATACATGATAAGCATGTCCCTTGCCTCTTGGGCATCTGGCAATGTCTGGAGACATTTTTGGTTGTCACTGCTCAGGGTGGGGTGCTACTGGCATTTGGTGGTGAAGGTTGGGGATGCTGCTCAGCACCCTCAGCGCAAAGGACAACTGGTTCCTCAAGTGACTGTCCCACCCTAAATATCAGCACTGCTGAGGTAGAGAAACTCAGGCCTAGGGGACATGACCTAGAGGACATAGCCAGGAGCATCCTGGAAGGTGACAGTGTCCTCAAGCCTTCTAGCCCTGCAGCTCTGGGAGCAAACCATAATTTCCTGCCCCTCTCCCCTAGGGCAGCCGCTCACAGCCCAGCCAGCTGCTGTCTGGGCCGAGGCACATCTTCCCTCTTGTTTTCCAGAGCCCATTCTGGAGCTAACTGGACAACTGGGATCACCTTGAGGTCATCACATTGATGAAGTGTCCAGACACCTGTCTGCAGACATTGCTGAGACTTGGGTCCTGGCACTGGTGCTAAAGTTCCCACCCAGGAACCTGGTACAACAGGTGTGATGGAGACTCAGCACATGGAACCAGAGCCACATCTGCCAGGCTTTGACAAGGCAGATGGACCAAAGTTGGCTGGACACAACTGGGCTGGGAAGCCATGTGCCCAGTTCTCTAGACCTGTGAGGGTCAGTAGGTGCTCGTGGTTCACCTTGGCCATAGACCTACTCCAGAGCTGGTAAGTAGGGTGGGGCTGCGGGGGCTTCCAGGACAAGCTCTGCTTCTGTGTAAGGACCCTACCCACAGGGCAATCCGAGCAGACACTGCACTCCCCCAGCTTGGAGCACTCTTGAGCTCTGGGATCAGGAACCTGAGTCTTGCCCTAAAGGATGGGGGACAGGAGGGGTCCCCTGGTCTCATCACCCAACATGACCCTCCTTCCCCTCAAAGGACTTACTTGCAGCATGGGATGTGGAGCATCCAGGGCAGGTCAGTTCCCAGCTTGGATCCAGGTGCAGATTGCTGAGCAGGGAGGATTCCTCAGTATCCCCATCCTTGCCTGAGAATCTCTGTACTGTAGGGAGTCGACAGTGCTCATCCACTGGCAGCAAGGATGAGATCGGGATTACTCCAGCCCTGGGAAGACCTGTGGGCTGAACCCAAACAGAAGCAGTCAGAGTCAGTCCCATGTTGGTGTAGGGTGGATAGCATCCCCAAATATTGATCCTGTACTTTGGGTGGCTGGAGATCTAGGATTGGTAAGACCAGGCAGGGCTTGACCCACCTCAGCCACTTCCCCTCTGCCTCTGGCTAATTTGCAACTGATGAGGGGACTTGGGATGAGACCACTTACTCGAATGGGACCAAAGAAAGGGAAATCAATGCTTCTGTGTGTCCCTGAACTCCCCTTGCCTAGTCCATGCCCTTTCTTGATAGCTTTGCGAACAGCCACCTGCTCAAGAAAGGGAGAAGGGAAGGAAAAAAGAAAACAGTTAAGACAGGAATTAAAGTCATATTAGGGCCAGCATGATGGCAAGGTAGTTGACACACTGCTCAAGCATTGCTGGATCCATATAGAAGATAGCAGGTTTGGTTCCCCAGTCAACCTGTAGCTTTGGTTTTTTTTTGTTTTTTTGTTTTTTGTTTTGTTGTTTGAGAAGTTTTCGCTATAGGGCGCGTGTGCTCGCCAGACAGACAGAGAGAGACATAGAGACAGTGAGAAATCACCCCCCAGGGGGTATGGTCACACCACAATCCCTTCTCCTCCATTCTCCTCTCGGGATCTT